GCTAACACAATGCTTTTTGTGTCCTAAGAAATCTTTGTCTAAGAAATGCAGATTTCCTCCTTTTTTTAAAAAAAAAAAGTAGTTTTATAGCTTTGGGTTTGTTTTTTTTATTAGTTGGAGGCTAGTTACTTTACAACTCTTGGCTTTAGATAATAGCAGCCTGACCATGGGGTAGTAACCATTTCACTCCCCAAAGATGGCTCATTTCATTTGCACTTATTGAGCATCTGCTGTGTGCAAAGCACTCTTAAAAATACACAGGAAATAAATGCTATACTCTGCCTTCAGGGAGAAAACTAACGGAGTAAATTAAAGAAACTATGTTGTTGTTTAGTTGCTCCGTCACACACTACTCTTTGTGACCCCCTGGACTTTAGCCCACAGGGTCCTCCGTCCATGGGATGGCCCAGNTGAATTTTTGCATATGGTGCAAGATAAGGCTCTAGCTTCTTTCCTTCCCGCCTTACTCTTCCTGGAATGAATGGGGAAGTGTTCCTTTCTGTTTTCTGGAAGAGTTTTATGTTGAGTTACTATTAATTCTTTATTAAATGATAGAATTCACCAGTAAAACCACCTACTTCTACCATTTTGTTGATTTGTTTTTTGTGGTAGGAATTTAAGTATGAATATAATAGGTATGAGTTACTTGGATTTCTTATTTTTGGGTGAGCTTTGGTGATTTGTATCCTTCAGAGAATTTGTTCATATCATCTGCATTCTGAATTTATTGGTGTAAGGTTGCTCTTAATATCTTCTGACCTCTTTAAGTTCTATCTAGTCTGTGTTGATACACCGTCCTTAATTCCTGGCGTTGAAAATTTCTGTTTTCTTGATCCAGTTAGCTAGAGGTTATCAATTTTATTGGTCTCTGCAAGGAACCAGTGTTTGGTTTCATTGATTTTCTTCTAATATTTTTTAGTTTTCTTTTTTTTGGGGGGGTGTATTTTTTAGTTTTCTGCTCATATGTACTTTTTTCAGTTTAATTTGCTCTTCTTTTTCTATTTTTTAAAGTGGAAGTTGAGCCAGGTTAATAGTGAATTTCCACTTCCCCATTCAGACCTTTATTTTATAGTCACATTTACTTAACAGTGTATTCTGGGTTATAACAAATGTAATTACCTTTGTTTTAGATAATTATATTTTCTTTATATATTTATTGACATATTTACTACTTACAGCTTTCATTCCTTTTGTAGTTCTGAGTTCCCATCTGTTATTTTCCTTCTGCCTGAAGAACCTCCTTGAATTTTTTTTTTTTTTGGTTGCAGATTTGCTGATGATGAATTCTGCCAGCTTTGCTGAATGCTGAATTCTTAAGTTGACAGTATCAGCATTTTAAGGATATCATTCCTCTGCCTTCTGACTTGCTCTTTTTCCTCTTGTAAGAATTAGTGGTGATTCTGTTTCACTTTCTGTGATGTGCATTGTCTCTTTGTCACAGTTTTTAGCAGTTTTATTATGACGTGCTTTGATGTGATTTTTTTTCCTGTTTATCTCACTTGGGGTTTATTGATATTTTTGGATCCATGAGTTACAGTTTTCATCAAGTTTAGAAATAACTGACCAACATTTTTAAAACATTTTATCCATAAGCCCTTTATGGAACTTCAATTATGTATATGAATGGTAATATCTTGGCTATGTATACCCTCTACGTATGAACTGTGGGCCACAGTTCTGTTTACTTTTCTCTGTGTGCTTCACTGTGGATCTTCTCTATTTCTACCCAAAGTTTGCAGCGCCTGGCCCTTCACAGAGAGATTGCCGACCTCCTATCTACAGGCTCATCTTGGCAGGGATTGTATTTTTCCTTCCAGTTTAAAATTTGCATAGCATATGATTCCAGTGTGCTGTAAATATTGACATTTAAAGAGGGGGGAAAGTCTTGTGTTACTCTTTAAAATATTTCCAGTGGAGTGTAAATACCATGGATATACCTACCATCATGCATTTAAAAAATACATGAACAAGCTCTACTTTAATCATTGGGAGATGTTCATTGCTACTTTTTCTCCTTGCGCTCATATTTTTATTTCTCTTGTCTCACAGTAGTTGGGGCTTCCCTCGTAGCTCACATGGTAAAGAATCTGCCTGCAGTGTGGGGGACCTGGGTTCAATCCCTGATTGGGAAGATCCCCTGGAGGAGGGCATGGCAACCCACTCCAGTATTCTGGCCTGGAGAATCCCATGGACAGAGGAGGCTGGCGGGCTGCAGTCAATGGGGTCGCAAAGAGTCCGACACAACTGAGTGACTAAGCACACATAGAATTTTATCCTGAAGTAACCATTTTTCTGCCTCTAAGAATTTTTTCAGCCTGTCATTCTCTTTCGTAACTATTAAATTCAGTTGTTTAAGATGTTCTATAGTGTGAGACCCTTGGGTGTTGAGCCTGATCTTGTGACTGATTGTTGCAGTTGTCTGTACCAGCTCCTATATCCTGGTTTTCCTCCATTGCCACCACTGCCCATCTTGTCCTGCCTTCTGACCCCTCTAAGCATGGGGCCCCTCAGGGCTTCGTCCTGTCCTTGGTCCACCATAGTCGGGTCCCTGAGGACCTCACCAGCTCATGAAGTCTGGATACTTCCATGCACAGCTCCCAACCATGCTCCTGCAGCCCTGACTTCTCCCCAACACTCCCATCAATGTCTCCACTTGGATGTGGACATGAAGTCTCAGATGGATCTGACATCCGATGTTAACTCTTACAGCTGTGCCCACCACAGGCTGCTCTGTCTGCGGTGGCAGCTCTGCCCTTCTCCGTCACACTCAGAGATCCGGCACTTTGGCTCTTTCCTTCCCCACACACCCTCCTCTGTCCGCAGATCCTGGTGGTGTCACTCTCACGGGACCTCTGCTTCAGCAGCTCTCACCTGGTCTTAACCAGCACAGTCTCTCACCCGGACTGTTTCTGTGGTTCTGCCTCTCCTCTGCCCAAGCCCCCCTGCAGCCTCACTCTGAATAAAAGCCAGTGTGCTTAACAGTGGCCTGCGGGCAGGCAGGCCTGCTGCCTCTCCAGCTTCAGCTCCTCCTTCCTGCCTTGCCTTCTGGCCTCTGCCCAGTCCCTGGAATGCATCAAGCCCTCTCAGAGGTCTCACCTTGCTTTCCTTCCTGGGGTGTCCTTCTCCTGGACACCCTCCTCCTTTAAGCCTTCACCCTCAGACCCTGTTAAAACTGCGGTTCCTCCCACCTCCTAGCCCCTTAGCTATTTTTCACTTTCTATTGTATGATTTACTTATTTACTTTGTCTCCCTTCCTCTGAAATATAAGCTTCATGAGGGCAGGAAGGTCTCTTACTGGTGTGTCAGCCCTTGTCTAGAACAGTACCTGATACATAGTAGACACTCCTCAAATGTTGTAGGATAAATAATGACTTCAAACAATATGTTGCAAGCTTTGATTGTCATTAAACCAAATAGCAGTTTATCTGAAATGTATCTGAGAATGATGAGGTTACTGGTAGCATTTTCCTCTGATTCAGTTTAGGTATTTGTGAACAGTATCACTTAATACAGAAAGAAGGGTTCATTCAGTATCAGTTTTCCTCCTTCCTTGTCTTTCTAAGTGTAGCCCCTGAAAACTGTTTGTGTGAATAAGTAGGCAGGCATGGAAGGTGTTTGTTGTCGCTGGACTTCAGAGTCGGGGGCCAAAAATCATATATGGTGTTTAATAAGTCATCTTTCAGCTGGCGACTAGGTTACGTTCCTTCTATTGTGTTGATGGCAAAGAGTTAAAAACCAGCTGGTTGGAAATGGCTTTCAAACCTGGTCATTGGAGTCCCTTTGTGTCACATTTTCTGAGGTTGCCCCAAAGCCAGTTTCCTGACACCAGCTAGCTGACCATTCATCATACCTGTCCTTCACTTGACAGCCTCTCATTGTACGTGAAATACTAGGAAGCACTAAGAAAATTGTGATATTAATTTATCATACCCTTATAATATTATCATACCCTTACAATATTATCTTACCCTTACAATATTAAACATGTGGGCCTTACAAAAGCTCGTGGCTGCAGATTAAGCTCATTCAGTTTATCAGAAATATCTGCATCAATAGACGGAACCAGTTCTGTCAAACCACTCTCTTGGGTGAGGCCTTAACTTTTTAAAACCTTTAAGGTGTGCATCTGACAGCCATCCCACTTCCAAGTTCAGTTCCTAGTGGAGAGGTGAGGTGTGGAGCTGATCACCATGTGGAGGAAGGTGCCTCTCTGTGCTCCTTGGAGGCCTCTTTGCCTGCTCCTCACAAGGGTGATGCTTTCTTTTACAGCAGTCTTAAGATTGAAGTGACTAAATGAAATTTAACCATCCCTGCCATCAGGCTCTAGAATATGTCTGAATTCCAGACACTTCAGCATGAACCATGACATCCTGTCTGCAGTGCTGCGCTGTGCCCTGAGCAGAAGCAGGTGTGGGATGGAGAGAAGCCCCAGCCTGCACTGGGCTGGATTCAGGGTGCCCCGCTGTGGGCTGTGCGCCTCAGGGAGAGGCTGGACGGGCAGTGTGCCTTTTCTTCTGAGTGGGAGAAAGGTCGTGAAAGGGGAGGTGGGAGGAGACACGGCCATCTGCCCTCCTGCCCCTTGGAACTGACTTTTATGGGGAGGCCGGCAGCAGACAGACAAACGACCAAGAGCTGAGGCAGGGCAGCAGCCTGTCATGAGGTGTGCTGGAGGCTTGAGGGGAGGCCCCGAGCACTGCAGTTTGGGCTGGGATGGGCCAGGTTAGGGCTGGGCTGCTCCAGGGACGGAGGAGGAGGGGAACCAGGCTCCCAGAAGAAGCCTCCCCTTCCCCCAGGGCGCTGCCCGCCAGGAGGAGAGCGGGCCCGCCAGTGCCATCAGCTCAGGGGTGAGCTTGGTGCAGTAACAGAGGAGCCTGGCAGTCCTCTTTTTAAACTCCCAATTCTCAGTGTTTGCCGTATCCTAACACAGTGCTTGCCTTTTGTTTCCTTTCCTTTTTTTTTAATTTAAAGGATTTTTTGTTTTGTTTTGTGTTTTTTGATAGATGAGGGTTACTACCAGGGTGGAAAATTTCAGTTTGAAACTGAAGTTCCTGACGCATACAACATGGTGGTGAGTAGCCTGCACTTGAGTCATTGTTCCCCCTTTGCGTGGCGGTTGGCTATCACAGGGCCTGGCGGGCCCCTCCCCAGCATCATGTCTACATGCTGCCCACCCAGTCCTGGAACTCAGCATGAAATGGCCGGTACTTGTGCGGTTAATGCCCCTCACCAGCAGTATTTTGAGTTTTAGTAGAGAGGTTCATTTCTCAGTGCACATTTGCAAGTACTGTGTGCCAGGCAGTCTGTGCCAGGGTGCAGCTCTACTGAGGCTGGAATTACTGTCCTGAGGCCACACATGTACAGGGATCTGCCTGTATATTTCATGCACATCTTGTTAAATTCTGACACTGGAGGAAAGAGCATTTTATTTAAAACTATGTTTGTTTATGGTGTAACACCAAAATTTGTATAAAACGTATGTTTTAGAATTTTGGAAAAGGATAACAACCCATGGTTTTAAACTGTGAGTGTTTGTTTACACCCCTGTAAACATGTCAGATCCTTCAAGGACCCTCCAGTAGTAACTGCCCAGTGCAGTCACATTCTGTCTGCTTTTAGGAACGTGCTGACCAAGTAGGAAAGTGAGAGAAAGGGTATGAGATTAATCATAAAGTGGTAAGTAGCAGACAATGATAATCGGTCAACGATAGGAAACTGGAGAATTCAGAGAAGAAAGAGAGAAAGTGGTCAGGGCCAGGTAAGGGTCTTCAGAGAGCTAGAATTGGGTTGGCTCGAGCACAACTGGGGCAGGGGTTCTGGGTGCCAAGACACGTCTCCTGCTCTGCTGACAGCTGTGGAAATGAGAACCGGCAGCCTGTGCACAGGGCAGGTTGACCTTCGACTTGAAGGAAGACTTGGGGTCAAGAAATAGTGGAGAGGTGAGAAAACCCAGATTGGGGTTTGGGGGGCATTTTCACTGCAGCAGTGAGAAATCCGTGAGGGCTCCGAACAGCTCCACACCCCCTGAGCAGGGGCGAGGAGAGGGCGTGGTATGCCCGCCCAGGCTCTGCGCCTCCTGGTTGGCACGTGGCCAGCTCTACTTTTGCATATTGATATGTCTATTTCCCGCCATGTTTCTTCACATTCTCTAGGCCTGTTGAGCAGGAAAGAAAAATCTGATGGTAAAAATCAGTCTCCTGTGAACCGAGGCTGAGGGAATTGGCACTGCTCGGGCCCTTGCTCCCCTCAGCGACAGCTCCCTCCTCTCTGATAAGTGGGGCTGTCCCCCTCCTCCCGTGCCTCCTCTCCACCCCCGACCCCCGACCCCGGCTGTCTAGTTCAGTGGCTCTAACACTTGTCTATTTAAAGCCAAACTTTTCTGTATGGAAATTGATCTCTACTGGGCTACTATGTTCAAAGCCCTTTTGGAGGATGTGGAAGAGTTGGCAATCTAAGAAAAAGAAAAAGGAGATTTAAATGTTAAACAAAGATAGGAAGATATGTGTGCCAGGTCTTTGTCAACCCATCCATCCAGCTGCCTGCTGAGATTTTTCCTGTTGCCCTGATCACTGACAGGGGAACCTGTACCCCTTCAGGCAAGAGCAGTGTGGGAACTTGCTTTATAGGCACATGTTTAGAACGTGGGGCTATTTTGATGGCTTCTGGAAACAACCAGACATGCAGTACTTAAAACTCTAGGCTCTAGCTTCCTGGACATACGCCCTCTCTCTAAAGAGAGTTAAAAGTCATAGGTTTGCGATACAGCCTTCAGAAAAGCAGGGATTTTCAGGGGAGGAGGATAGATCACAGGGTTTAGCGTAAGCTGGTGAACTTTCCAAACAAGCCTCGAGGAAGCTGAGAACTGCTGTTGGCGTGCGTCGGGCATCATTTGGTGGCAGAGTGTCTTCTTCCCAGTGTAAGGATAGAGCAGAGTCTCAGAACAGGAAGGGAGGAACAGAGGTGTGTTTTGGGCTTCCACTCATTTTGCTTCGGTCACGCTCCAGTCGTTTGGGTGACGTCAGTATTCCTGTGTTTACCCATCAGGAAGTTAGGGCTCAGAAGGGAAAGGTGAGAACTTACCTAGTTGGCCTTGCCAGTGTCGGTGTCCCATCGCCAAAGCTGATTCTTGTCAAGAGCTGCCAGCCTTCCTAACGTGTGCCCTTCCCAGCACACCTGGTGGCTGCTTCGTAGTGAGAAGTGTTTGTCATACTTCCCAGTCCCTGTGACTTCTTTAAGAATGAAGTCAGAAATAAGTAGCGAATAAAAAATTATTGAGCCTCAAAGACACATTCCCTCTAGTTACTGGTGGCTTATAAAGACCTCACATTATTCTATTTTAGTTTCTGCCTCCTTTGGAAAATTTCTAAGTGGCGGGCTAGTCCTCTTTCTTCAGGAACAAAACCCGTGTTCTCCAGCCAGGAAGCACTGAGAGGCCAGGCCGTCCAGGTGTATCCAGACCCCACCCTGCTGCCGGGAGGGCCTCTGCATGTTCTGCCTGCCTCTTTGCAGGCAGAGGCCAGCCAGAGCCGTGAGCTCACGGCAGGGTGAAGGGGGTGGCCCTGTCCCCGAAGATGTGGGGTGTCGTGCTTCGTAGATACAGAGGTGGTGGTGTTCCCCTTGTTAGTAGTTCATCTTTATGTAGTTCTCCTCACTGTCTCTCTTCACTGGACTGTCTGCTCCCTGAAGGAGGAGTCTCGGGGTGCCTTGATCTCACTGTATTTCCACTGCTGGGCGGGGATGGCCACACCAGGCATGTGGCTCACATTTCTCCAGTGGTTGGTACGTTCTCTGCCCCCCAAGAAATTTGTGGTGTGGAAAATATACCAGCATTTGAAAATACAGAGGTTCCAGGCATGTGGAATAGTGATTCTGAGAGCAGACTTTCAGGAATTCATGTTTCACTGGAGTGAGGAGACAGCCGGTTTTCAGCAAGTCAGCCTGAAAGGGCTTTGTGGAGCTTTCTCAGAACTCATTTGCTTTTACGTCACAGTTTATAGGATTTCTGTACTTCATAAGGACTTGTTTTTTTTTTTTAAACCCCTTACACTTATGGTTCCTGCAATCACGGTCAATTTTTAAGATTGTGAATGAAGCTTTTTTAATCAGTTAAGCATCAATAAATCATTATTTTAGGATAAGCTTTTTAAAAAAGAAAGAAAACACCTATTTGGTATCCCCTCACCACCACCCCACCCCCGCTCAGCCCTCTGCCCCAGCAGCTAAAATGCAGATATTTCCTTTCGTTCTTTGTCCTTTGATCCCTGAACTTTATGTCACAGTCTCTAGCTGCTTCGCAGTCTCTCTCAGCCCTCGAAGTTGGCTAAAAGGATAGAGTGACGTTTAAGAAGCTCCTAAAATGCTCTGGGTTCTGTGTCAGGCCTTGTGGGCTGGAGGTGAGAAGTCAGGCAGCCTTGAAGAAGCTCAGCCTCTGGACACAGAAACGGTGACAAGCCAGGGTGGTGACATGGCGATGGTGATGCCCCAGAATGTGGGGATGCACAGAGCAGGAGGCGGCCTGGGAGCAGATAGCAGCTTGGCTGTGGTCTCACACGCTCAGGCCTCATGCGGCTCCCCCAGCATGTCACCTGAGCTGTGGTAGGAAGCCATGTGCTGAAGCAGGAGACAGGAATGTGGCTTTTTGGCTTTTCTCTCTTCCTGGAAGTGAGGTTATGTGATAAAACCACATCAGGCAACATGATCACAAGCGTTCTGCCACATTTCCAGAAGGAGGACAGGAGGTACCACCAGTAACACCTGAATGCCCACTGGCCGACTTCTTTTTAGGGTAATTTTATTATACCCCATGGAAAACTGAGAAAAAAAATCACTATGCAAAAATAGAATATTAGTCATCTGTTATCTCTGTCCGTCATCAGAGATGATAACCACTAACTTTCTGATGGATGGTATGCACAATATCTAACCATACATACAAGTGCCATCATGCTGCACATAACTTGGTGACTTGGGGTTTTTAACGTTACAGTATAGTACAGTGTGGGCTTCCCTGGTGGCCCAGCCGTAAAGCATCCACTTGCCAATGCAGGAGACGCATGTTTGATTCTTGGATAGTGAAGATCCCCTGGAGAAGGTAATGGCAACCCACTCCAGTATTGTTGCCTGGGAAATCCCATGGACAGAGGACCCTGGTGGGCTACAGTCCATGGGCTCGTAGAGTCACAGCAGCAGCAGCATAATACAGTATATCATCGTATCATAAGAACGTATGTTCTCTTGTCAATTAGTGTATAATTATATCATCCTTAGTAGGAGCACTTAATTGTGTGATGTTTCATGGTTTTAAACTAATCCTTTATGGTTGATATTTGATAAAGTGAGCCAAACTTTAGAGAAGGGCCAAACAGTAAATATTTTAGGCGTTGTGGACTATATATATTGTCTCTGTCATATAGTCTTTTTTAAAAACAAAAACACCCTTTAAAAATATAAAGGCTATACTTAGACCATAGACCACTTGAAATCAAGCTCGGCCTTATTTGGTCCACGGGTTGTAGTTTGCTGATCCCTAGAATAAGCAGTGCTGTGACGCAGGTCCTGGACAGCAGCACATACATGCCTGCTGCTGGCTGCCTTTGGATAAACTCTTAGAAGTGCAGTTACGGGTATTGAGTCGTTGATGCTGATTTTAAGGCTTTTTAATCAATACAATTCAGTTACCTTCCAGAGAGTTTCCATTTGGCATCTCCACTGTCAGTGTGTGAAAATTGTTTTTCCTAAACCTTAACCAACATGAGATGTTTTAATTAATTTTTTCTTTTTGCTCTTTTGGAAGGAAATAAATAATAAGTAAATGTCATTTGAATTTTCATTTCTTAAATAGGATGCTAAATTTTTTTTTCCTACTTACTAACTGTTTATGTCTTTTATGGACTATTATTATGTGCTTAAACCTCTCCCTCCCCTTTTTTTTTCTGTTGTGGTATTTGTTTTTCTTATTATAAGCATTCCTATATAGAAATTATATGAAACTTTTTTCTTAGTTAGCTGTGTCATAAACGTTTTCCTGTTTTCATTTGTCTTTTTGTTGTTCTGTAAAAGCTTATGGCTTTTTGATTTAAGGTGTAGCCAAATCTACTTTTTCTTTGAATTTTTCATGTTGTGGAATGCTTATAACAGGCCTTCAGACCCCAAGGTAACTCATCTGTGTTTTTTTCTAGTACTCTTAGCGTTCTGTGTTGTTTATGTTATGTAAAGCTCTCAGTGAGCATCTGACTGTACTTTTCTGAATAGGTAACCCCCGAAGTGCCCCTGTCCCCACTGATTTGCAGTATGGCCTTTGTCAAGTACAAACCCTGAGCTCTGTGACAGGATGGCTAGTGATGCCAGCCCCTGAGGTAGCAACTGGAGCTGGGTGTGTCTTGTTTGTCTGGCTTTGGAGGTGGTGGGGGTCTGTGAGAATAGTTCAGCTTAAAAAGTGTGTGTCAGAATCAGGTCCCCAGTGTGGTGCAGAAGTCTGCTCTCTCCCTGGGGCACTGATGTCAAGAGGGCCGTCGACAGCCTCCAGCTGTGGCAGGTGTGAGGGGATGAAGAGGAGAGGGCAGGTGCGGCCCCACCCTGGGAGCTGCAGTGACCAGGTGGGTGACAGTGCGTCAGGGCTTCAGAGGAGGGAGGGGGCCTTCAGTCCTTCCAGACGCTGAGGCTGCGATGCAGTCTACCCTGCAGGCTACTCTGTTCAGTAGGCTTCCACATGCACAGTGCCAGCCTTCCTCTTGAGCCTGAAGGCCTTGCTGGGAGTGCAGGCTCTGCTAGTATTTGCTCTGTCAAATGCAGTCCTGTATTCACCTGCAGAAAAGCAGGTCAGAGAATACTCGGTCTGAGCGCAGCTCCTGCCGGCCCTGCCTTCTGCAGCGCTCGGGCGCCCACCTCCCCTTGTTGGGGCGGTCACTCAGGGGAGTCTGTCGCCTTGAAGTCAGGAAGAGAATTCAGTGAGGGCGCTGAGAGGGCGTCTAAACACGTTCCTTTATACAGGTGCGAAAGGCGAGACTATCAGAGTGCTAGAAAGAGCGCAGAGGTTTTGGATGGTGACAGATTCTCTAGATTTGGTCTCAAAGGTAAAGATTTTCATTACAAAGATTTTGGATCTGTGAGATGACCTGTCTGGTTAGATTCTGAGAGACGACTGTCATGCTCCTCAAACCAAGGTGACCTTGCAGTGGCCTGGGCCTGGGGAAGGGGCCCCTCACTGCAGGCAAGGGTGGGCCTGTGATCTCCCTGGAGGCAAGAGCGCTTGGCACTGAATCCGCAGCAGCGCTCTGGCCAGAACCCCCCGCCCGGTTCCTGGTCTTCATCCCAGTGAAGTATTTCATCCGCTGAGAGTGAAGATAGCATTGATACAGCAGTTTTGTAGTAGAAGTGGGAAGAACCTAAGTGTCCAGGCACAGGGGGGACTGGCTTGCTAAATGCTAGTGTTTGTGCCATGGGATGCATGGATGCCCAAAGGCATCTGAGATGATGACAAGAATAAATGTGAAAAAATGTACAGCATGTTTCTCTACTTCTATAAAGAAAAATGACTGCATCACACACACCTGTGTGTATGGCCTAGAAAAGAGGCTCCAAAATGTGCATCAGATATTAATAGAAATTATTCTGGGTAGAGTGCTATATCTCTGTCTACACACATCTTCCCTTTTTTTTTTTTCTTTTTTGTTTTTCCTAAGATGAGTGTGATCGGTTTTAAAATAGATTAAGATTAAAAGAACGTTATCCAAACACGCTCCATCCTAAGTGATGTTGATGTGTCTTATTCCCACGTGATCTTAAGTGGACTAGGACTTGCATCTAGACAAGGTAAATGACAGTAACATCTTCAGAAACATCCACAAAGGGCACCTAGCGTCTTCAGAAACATCCACAAAGGGCACCAGTGCTGCTGTGGGGAGCAGCACTTCAGCTGCTCAGCCATATAGTGTGAAGGAGTCTAGGGGCTCCTGGCTCACAGCAGGCTCTGGGGGTGCAGAGCTCCTTCCCCAGGTCTTTGAGGCTGCTCCTCCACAGCTGGTGCCCAGGGAGGGGTAGGGGGCAGGATCCCAGCAGCCAGCACCATTTGCCATGAGCCCCAGGGTTTGGAGGGGTCCTATGCGGGGGCAGCAGCCCCCCCCCCCAGCGAGGGGGTAACACTAGACCCACTGCCTGCGAGCAGGCTTCCTCCACAGCTGGTGCCCAGGGAGGGGTAGGGGGCAGGATCCCAGCAGCCAGCACCATTTGCCATGAGCCCCGGGGTTTGGAGGGGTCCTATGCGGGGGCAGCAGCCCCCCCCCCCAGCGAGACCAGCGCTGCATGCGGTGTGCAGACACTGCTGCAGGGGCCGGGGCCGCTGCCTGACAAGCTGGGAGTGCGCGGTAAAACGGCGCTGGATGGGGGACACAGAAGGCTCTGGAGCACCTGTGATCTCTTCCTTCTGTGTTGCAGCCTCCCAAAGTGAAATGCCTGACCAGGATCTGGCACCCCAACATCACGGAGACTGGTGAGATATGTCTCAGGTGAGTTCTGTCCGCTCCTGTCTCCTGTGCTCTGAGCGCTGCCTGAGGCTCGGCTTCCCAGGGATCATCTCCCCCAAGAGGACACTCGGAGGCTGGGCCGGGAGTAGGGAGGCTTTGGAGCAGTCTCTCGGCTCCCCCGTCCCAGCCTGGCCTCTGAAATCCACCCAGGACGCCCCCTCTAAGGACCTTTACCCCGTCCCCTCTTATTTTAATGAGGCACACTCCCGCCATGTGGCTGATTTTAGATAAAAGGGGAAACTGTAATTAATGGGATTCACGGTAGGAGGATAATGTGGATGGCAGGCTTCAGAAGACACCCCCCAACACACTTATATTTAAATGTCCTCTCTTGTGGTTTTTCTTTTCTACTTTTTTTGGCTGCATGCACATGGCTTATGGGATCTCAGTTCCCTGGCCAGGATCAGTCCCAGGCCCCAGCAGTGACAGTGCGGAGTCCTAACCACTGGACAACCAGGCAGTTCCCTCAGCATCCTGTCTTTACCAAAATGGTCTTGATGTGTGCAAGAGCACGTCCCTGGAGCTTTTTGCCCATGGTGTCCTGGGCCCTGCCCTTCCAGGGGCAGATGGCTGGGAACCAGCCATTTCTTGCTTCTAGAGCTTGCTGGTCACTAACGTAGAGAACCAGAGAGGTTGGTGGTGGAGGTGGTTTTTGAGTCAGTTTAGCCTGTGGGCTGTGTTTGTCTTGTGCCCCACACGTTCTCTGGCAGGGCAGTGAGGTCAGCTTGCAGGGCTCTGGTGCTGGCTCCCTGGCCGAGTCCTGGCCCAGCCCTGGCAGCCGTGTGACCTGGGGAGCTGGGCTGCTCCATGTGGGGTGTGTCTCCGGCATGCTATGTGCTCCCTTGCTCCGTGATCTCGTCCTCCTCAGGCCCTGCCTCTGGGTCCTGTCCTCCCACTCTCTTCTCCCCGCAGAGAACGCCGGCGCCTGTGAAAGGCCGTGTGCAAGCTGTAACCATCCTCCCTGCAGGCATGAGGATACCCACTTTCACATCTACTTTGGCTTTTGATAGTGAAAAATACATTTTATGAGAGTGTTTTTTTTAGTTGTTTTAGCTTTTTTTTAGTGTTTTAGTTTTTTAGGGGTTTTTGTTTTTTTAAAGGCATCTTCCCTTAAGTATCTGCCCTTTAAATGTTGAAACTTTAGAAATCTGTGATCTTCAGTTTCAGATCCTAAGTGTCTTGTCTCCCTTCCTCCAGTCAGAGTGGGTCCAGAGAGGGCATTTCTCTGGTCACTTCTGCCATCTTCTGAGAAATCAGATTATTAACAAAATATAATAGGAATTTAACAGATGGTCGCCTGCTACAAAAGCTAGAGACCATGAAGGAAAATAGTTGATACATTTAGCTATGTTAAAATTAAAAACACACAGTTTGAAAGAGAAAGTATGAGCAGGATTGCAGCCCTTGTATGTAAACAGTCCTTTCAATTAATACGAAAAAGATGGGCCCCCCCACGGGAAAAATGAGCATCGGCTCCAAATAGGGGATTCACAGGAGGAGGCACACAGTGGGCGGAAAGCGTCTGGGGCTGCTTGGTCTCCGTGGTAATGGGAGACAAGCATGTGAAAGCAAGAGGAGGCTGCTCGCCACTTCTCAGGCTGGCAGACAGCAAAGCATGCGTGCGTGTGTGTGCACGTGCGTGTGTGGACAGGCTCCTGTTCATGGGAGGGTGCGTCTATCTGTATACCTTTCCCTGGTCCTTCAGCCGTAAGGAGACTGCAAACCACAGAGGAAAGAAGGGCCCGGCCCAGCAGACAGGAGCCGCTCCGTGCCGCTGGGCCCAGCTGCGCACCTGCGGCTCGCGGGCCTGCTGCCTGCTGCTCACTCACCGCTCCACTTTTCTGTCTGTTTCAGCTTACTGAGAGAACATTCGATCGACGGCACCGGCTGGGCCCCCACAAGGACGCTGAAGGTGAAGTGCGGGCCTCTGCCCGGGGCCTCCCCGTCTGGGAGCCAGCCTCTCGGGAGGACAGCGGTGTGCACACTATCCCGTCCGCACCGCTGGCCGCCCACCCCACTCCCGCTCCCCTCAGCACCTGCCGGCCCTCCTGGGGCTGCTGGCCAAGGGTGGGTCCGCTTGGTTCCTCTGACCTCTGCCACGGGCGCTGCAGTGGTTTACCGTTCCTGCTCGTCCTGCCGTTCCCCAGGCTTGCACAGTGGTCTCCCCTAACACAGTGGAGGCTTGCCAGGAGTGGGCAGGGAGAGAGGAGGGGGAGGCTGGGGTCCCATGTCTGCGCTGAGTCACCTCGGACAGAGGAGGGGTGGCGGATGTGGCCAGGTGTGCTGGAGGGGGCACCTCTCTGGGGCGGGGGGTGATCAGGGAGCCACAGGGACTCAGGAACTGACCCCAGGTGTTTTGCCAGCGTGGCTCAAGTGGGCTTTGGGGGGTGTGTCCTAGGCGCCCATGTGGCGCCACCGGCTATGCGTCATCTCTAGACTTTTCCATGTTGCTGCCCCTGGGCCCCCTGCCTTTCTTCCCTGACCCTTATCAGAAGCGTCCCGGCTTTTGGCCAGTGTTCAATGAGTGGCAAGCAGCTGCCTGACTTCTGCCATCTTCTTTGAGTAGTGAAGTGGCTCCATGGTGTCACAGCCCCTGCCTGTCTGGCATGGGATTGGCCCTGCCCAGAGGAGCACTCGCCTCAGACTGGGTCTGGGGACAGTGGTGTTCCCAGCCTGCCCTTCGCTTCAGCGCAGAGATGTGGTCTTCTGAGCGAGGCCGTTTTCGTGGTGACCATCCCCCTTCGTAACCTGAAGGGCCGCAGGCAGCACGTCGGCCCGTCTGAGGCTCTCGGCTGCCTGGAGTAGCACACACGCTGTCTCCTTGCCCCTCTGTCTCCTGTAACATTTTCACACGTGGCAGCTTGGCTCAGTCAGGTGTGGATGATGAAAGCCGTCCTGACTGAAACCGCTCAGAGACCTCAGTCTGTGCCGAGGTCACAAGAAGCAGGCAGCGGCTGGTCATGGAGCTGCTGCATTGGCTGCCATCCCTGGGTGGCGAGGGTGGGCCTGAGAGGACTGGACCTGCATGCAGGCTCCGTTTCCCCACGGTTATTTGCTGATTAACTCTCTAGGCCCTGCCTTTAAAATAACTTTGCAGAAAACTAACCTTCATAATATGGGGACTTACTGGTTCATCTCTTGGAGGCCACCCTCGCCCAAAACTTGTTTTCTTCTTCTCATTTCAGGATGTTGTTTGGGGATTAAACTCTTTGTTTACTGTAAGTATGTTGAACAAAATTCCAAATTGTTTTAATTCCTCTGTCTGCTGGTTTTAAAGACTGCATTAAAGATAACACAAGGGAATCACTGAACCCCTCCTTCTTTGGCACTTTTGTGAGTCAGAAGAACAGTGAGTTAAGAACTGAGGGTGCTTTGGAGTGATCCATGGGGAGGTCGGGGGAACAGGTGGGGAGAGAGCAGAGGGCGGGGAGAGGAGAGGGTGCCCACTGCCTCGGGGGCAGCCCAGGCCAGCTCCATTCCCCATGGTCTCTTCCATCGGGTTAGGCTCCTCTGGGGCCTGGCCACCCCACACTCCGCTCTGCTTCTCTCCCAGGTGCTCCAGTTTGGATGAAGGAGCATGTAGTCACCAACCTTTAGGCTTTTCACAATTAGCTGTTCCTTTGAGCTTTGACTTTTTGATCATCAGTTCAGTTCAGTTGCTCAGTCATGTCCAACTCTTTGCAACCCCATGGACCGCAGCACACCAGGCCTCTGTTCAGTTTGGGTCCAGACATCATTCCTCCTGGGTTGTGAGTGCAGTGCTTGTGGAGATGAGTTAAAGATGACGGGGAAGCAAGCAAGACCAGAATGAAAGCATAGAAGGCACAGCTGTTAATCACAAAATCAAGGAGAAAATGAGTTTCTAAGGAAAAATAGGATTTTTATTCATAAATGCTCGTATTGAGACTGGCTTGTCATTCCCTAATTTTAAGAAATAGCATTAGAAATTAATGTGATTGCTATTTCCTCACCAAACTTTGAAAAGTCATGTGTACACACATTCCTGCCTTCTCTCAGTCGACCATGAATCACTATTTTGAAAAAAATGTTCAATGCTTCTGCATCAAAAGAACTTCATTTCTCAGCAGTTTTCTCAACTCTCTAGGTCACTCTAACATTTGCTAATTAAATTTCTGTTGCCTGTTTCATAAAATGAAGACTTACAACAGCAGAAAAACAGGTTCTTTCCACTGTTTACTCTTTCTTTTTAAGGATCTGTTGAATTTTGATGATCCACTGAATATTGAAGCTGCGGAACATCATTTGCGAGACAAGGTAAGCTATTCACAGAACATTCTAGGTTGATGTGTTTGGTGAAAATATACTTGTGTGTGTGTGTGTGCACGCACTCAGTTGTATCTGGCTCTTTGTGACCCCATGGACTGTAGCCCACCAGGCTCCTCTGTCCATGGGATTCTCCAGACAAGAAAACTGCATGGGTTGCCATTTCCTTCTCCCGGGGATCTTCCCGACCCAGAAATCAAACCCGAATCTCCTGCATTGGCAGGCGGATTCTTTACCTGGTGCCACCTGGGAAGCCTAAAAAGAAAATTACTGCCCCTTGAGTAGATAAGGATGAAATTGAGAATGGTGGAACCCAGGTTTGGAGCTTAAAGCATTTATAATCAATGTGTTATAATCAACGTGCGTGGTCTTAGGAAAGTGTTTGACCCCAGGTCAAACAGGAGTGTTCCTATATAAGGTGTAATTTCCTAGCAGAGTTCAGTGTGAGTGACTGACAATAGGCAACCCTTGCTTCAACTCATGACAGTGTAGGAATGCAGATAGGAGGATGGAGGCGGCCCCCTGCCCCCACACCACAGGCTTTGTCCTGCCTGCCCCAGGACCCATTCGTCTGCCCACAGCTCCATACAGGGCGAGGAAGCAGGGCCACCAAGAAGGGAGAAGACCCACCAGGAGAGGGCAGAGCTCGGGACCTGAGCCCGGAGTTCCTGGCCTTCTCAGGCAGCCTCAGACGGAGGAGCGGGGAGCTGCTTACCTTCTGGAGGGGCGTGGAGACCAGAGGGGACTCGGGCTCAGCCAGGGCACCTGTGCTCCCAGGGTCACACTGAGGGCAGGGCTGCCTGTGGGATCGTCACTCCACCCCGAGAGCTTTGGCCCCAGGAGCCAGTGGTACTGTGGGCTTCCGGGCGCTGTGGACGTGACCTTGTGAGTTTGGCTGAAGGCGGCCAGGGCTTCTGTGCAGCCCGTGTTGGCTGTGGGCAGGGGGCTGGTGATGGTCTCCGTGCGCAGCCCTGGGCCACCTGGTGGCAGTCACAGCTCTCCCCTTCCTCAGCACAGAGCCCGCCCCCACCTGCAGGGTGAATTCAGTGTGGTTCTGCCCACCGCCTCCCTAGTGGCCCCTGTGGGGGCCTCCCGGTCACCAGTAGAGGGTGCACATCAGGCCCCGGGGCTGTGTGTGTTCCTGGATGGGGGTGCCCCTGTGGGCAGCAGTGCGGGGAGGAGGTGGTATGGGAGTTCACCTTCGGCTCACACGCTGCCCCACCAAACGCAGGCAGGCCTTCTGAGGTGGACGAGCTCCAAGTCCTTCTTATGGCTCAGACAGCCCCGGGGCCCTACCCAGTGCTGCAAGGCCAGGGAATTCTCCTAACCTTAGAGATACAGGACCTGGGACCTGGGCATTGGCTTACATGGGAGGTGCCTTTCCTGCCCAGGCTGGCCTGGGATGGGCCTGCATGCATACGGCCTTTTTACACCTGAGGGATCATCAGCCAGGCGCCAGGTAGCTTTTGTTTGTTGCCCAAGGAGGCGGCTCTGTTCAAGCCCCCCTCTCCTCTTGGGCAGGGTGGGCACCCTGATGGCCCACCACACCTGGGCCGTAGGTAGCAGGGTCCCAGGAAGGCGGATCTGGACACAAGGGCCTTCCCAAGAGCAGCAGCCGGGACCGTTTGCCGTCCAGAGCCCTGGCCTGACCCACGTGGGGACCTTGACCGCACTGGGCATCTCTCCCGTCTGCAGAACGAAGGGTCTTCAGTTCCCTTCCGCCCAGAGCGTGTTGGCATCCCCACCCCAGCACCCCAAGCGGCAGGGAGGCGGCACTCTGCCCACGGGTCTCTGTGCGTCCTGCCACTTAGGGGCTGGGGGGTGAGGCCGGGCCCTCCACACACTCCCCAGAGCTCACGGGGGCCCTTGGCTCAGGGGAGCCCCACTTGGCCCCAGAGAGTCGCTCCCCAGTGACTCACGGCCCTGATCCCCGCCCCCGCAGGAGGACTTCCGGAATAAAGTGGAGGACTACATTAAGCGCTACGCCAGATGATACGGGGAGAGGACTGCAGGGCCGCGGACTGTGCGTGAGAAGATGGGCTCCACCCGCAACCAGAGGGAGCCTCTCCCCGGTCCTCGGCTCCCCTCAGTCCCGCCGGCTCATCCGAGTCCTGTGACCGTGTTGTCCTGAGGAAGAACCTCTTCACGACCGCCCATTGTAGCCGGAGAGTTCCACATAAATACAGCCAGAAAATGTGTCTGGGGTCCTAAAGAGTTGTCTGCTTACCTTAACATGTTTACTTTTTTGAAACTGTACTGTATAGGCTGTTGATGAGAATGAACTCAGCGTCGAGGCTAGAGCTGCTTCTCCCCTCCCCCGTCAGTCCCGCGCAGGTGATGCTCATGACGTGCTCAGTGTAGCCCGCAGATTGGCCGTCAGAAACCCGCTGCAAACTGTGATTGGTGCGAAGTCTCTTAGCTCCTCCCACGAATGTCGGCCCTGCCTAGGTGTCGTGAAGCTTCCCAGAATGCAGAGTCATTCACTGTAGATCTCTTACTGAAATGCGTATTTTATTTAATGTAAGTATATTTTGGAACAGATTTGTAATTTGTACAATTTAATGCTTTAATTATTTTTTTCTATTCTCATTTAGTTTGTATTTTCATTGTATAGAGCAGACAGATGTTGGGTCAAGCAACTATTGAGAAATACAAAGAAAATATGAAAGGCACAGTATTCATTGTGTCCAAATACACCAAGAATCTGTGTTTTAAAAAATCAGCTTGTTTCCAGGTCCAGATGGGGCAAAGGAACTTCGGGAGCCCATGCAGCTAGATCTGGAAGATTTAAAAGAAAAGCAGGGAGCCCATCCTCATATGCTGGCTGGAGGACAAGGCTACAGCCCAGCCCACCCCGGGGCTTGGTGCTCCTGCGTGGTCACACGCTTGTGAGCCAGTGTGCAAGGGAGCCTTATGTTCTGGGGTGGGGAGAGAGACCTCAGGCACTAGCCTGAGGCCCTGACACCGCCCCTGTGGCCCTCTGAGGTATTGGCGGTATTTGGTGGCATTCCCCTGCTCCCGGGTCCCTGAGTCTCGGGGGCGGGTCTCCTTGGTGGACTAGAGTCACAGGCAGCACACTTCGGAGTAAGAACAGGGAAGAGAGGTGAGTGGCTTTACTCCGGCGTGAGACATTGGAACCATTGGAATCCAATGGTTTCTTCTGCTGCCTGCCTGACACACTCAGGTTTAACTGACAGCTTCCTCAGGCCTCTGGATGCCCTGTCTGCCATCTGCCCGGTCTGGTTGGTTCCTCTTAGTTTATAGCATCATCTCTGATTATGAGATCAATCTGTCCAGTAAGGAATTGGGGCAACACTTCCCACTGGTCATTAGGAACCCTGCCCATTAGACAGGAGGCTGACCCAGCTACTGGGCTGCTTTGTCTGGTGCACGGAGCAGGGGTGGGGGGGTTGGGGGTGGCATCTCTGACCAGGCCTGTCAGGACAAGGGTCCTGGGAGAGGCACCCCCAGTCACATACTTCTAACTGGAGCCCAGTGTCAGGGGAACTCCCCCACAGACCACAGAGCCACCCTTTGCTAGGTGGGTCAGGAGAGCAGCAGCTGGCAGTCCACATGCCCCGAGGCACACTGCTCCCTGCCAGCTCCCACCCGACTCCCTAGGTCACACCCCTAGCTGTCCAGGCAGCCCGCCTGGTGGTGCAGATGGAGGTGGAAGAAATGAAACATGGGTGATGCGGGGCAAAGACCACTCGCTGGACAGTGTGAAAAGGATAAGGCTCCCTGTCGGTTCTGACACACAGGTCTCTGCTCATCAGGGGTCAAGCAGTTCTTCAGAAGGGACACTCCCACGTTCTGGATCATCCCTTTCTGTCTGGTGGTCCACCGTCAGAGGCACCTTGCCCCCCACCCCATCTTGTTAAAGAGCCCACCCACTTGGGCCCTCTCCATGGCCCATGGTGCCATCCTGGGTGCCTGCCCAGCGGGCCCTGTGGCAGCTTTTGGTGGCTGTGGGACACTGACCCCTGGGACTTCTGGTTTCTTGGCGTCTTTTTCACACCCTTAGGCCACAGTAACATTTCTGGCCATAGTTCCTGTGCCCGCCAACCCAGGACAGTTGGTGATGTCTGCTCTGCCAGGGGGTAGGGCTGCTGGGCCTCTGGGCACCCCGACCGCCCTGGAGCCAGGTGGGGTGGTGCTGTGTCCCCATGCCGCTGCTACTTAGAACTGCACGTGTCAGCTGCGTGGTTTTCAGGCACACTTTACATGGAGACAGCTCCAGGGTAGCCCTGTCACGAGAAGCTCGCACCTCCCCACTTCCCTTCCCTTGGACAGACTGCCTGCAAGCTGCCTCTGGGAGGAGCCAGAGCCAGCGTTACTCAGGTGCTGAGCACTGTCCTCCTGGCTGGGTCTCCCTGCAGCCCAGGACATCGCGTGTCCTGCATGTGCTTTTCAGCTGCTGTGTCTGTGGTGTTGCCCAATGCCAGCCTCAGGGAGCAGGGTCTTGGGTAACTTCACGAGATGCCGTTTTACCCGCCCTCCTCTCCAAGCCCTGAAAGCCTCAGGGGCCTGCCTATCTGACCTCAGACACTCAGACTAAGCTGGGTGGTGCACGTGCCTGGGTGGAGAAGTCTGCAGTACAAGATTTGTGGGAAGACTGTGCTATTCAGACTATTTGCAGTAAGACTGTGCTATTCAGACTATTTGCAGTAGCTAACACTTTGAATGTCATCTTTGAAAGGAAGGCATCCCTTCATATTTGCCAGTCTCAGTGTTCCATGCGTATTTTCCTCCGCCCTTGTTTCATTCCTGGGGACTCGCAGGAAGACTTTACGGCTCCAGTAGGTAGCAGGCCTTCCCCACGGTGTGGCCGCAACCAGGCTGGTCTCAGCAGAGTCCCAAGTCCACCCTCAGGACTTGGTGGCAGAGGCAGCAGAAACAGATTGAACCGACCTGCTGGGCTCTGAAACTTAGCAAAAACATCTCAGAGGCCAAACTCCCAGGCGGTGGTGACCACCATGATGTGTCATGAGTCTTCAGGGGACAAGGCTGGGTTGCTCTGTTACCTCCACCCTTCTTTCTTTAAAGAACTGCTGTGGGAAAAAAATTCCTGTTGCCATCGGACCTATTGCTGATTTGATGATCAAATCAAGCAGAATTTTTTTCATATAAGAAGTCCAACAAGGCATTAACCACCAACTGCAGGTTTCAGTTCAGTTCAGTCGCTCAGTCGTGTCCGACTCTTTGCGACCCCATGAATCGCAGCATGCCAGGCCTCCCTGTCCATCACCAACTCCTGGAGTTTACTCAAACTCAACAAGATCCTTTCGCAGCGGCTACAGTCTGTTCCAGGGTCATTTCACCTCCATCCACTTAAAAATGTTTAATCTTGGAAAGTCAGGTTTGCTACAAGTTCATTTTCTTCATAAAGTGTGTGTAGTAAAATGCTATTGATACATAGTAAAATAATGTTTTCCTTTTCCTTTGCCGAAGAACTTGGAAAATGGGGAAACCTGTCACACCTATCCTTCCCTGCTCTTACAGCCCTGCCTCAAACAAATCCAGCAGATTGGAGGGGCCAGTTCAGAGGAATCCACATCACCTGCTGAAGTTCTCGCTCATGCCCTGGGGTTCCATGGGTTACCAAAGTGACTTACCGAAAGAACTGCGGTTGGGCAAATGTTCTTCAAAAAACCCAGAGATGGAGGCATTTGAGGACCTCGCAGTGTTGAGAATATCTGTTTCCTTGTGTCAAGCTGTATAAAGAACTGAATTATCTCTTTTTTAAAATCCATCTTAGGGCTCTTTGGCTGATCACCAGTCACGCTGGGCCAGAGTTCTTCCGGTAAATTCACTGGTGTTTTGGTTGTCTTTTTTTTAACTTATGGGCAGTTATAAGAAATCATCGGTGTTGCAAGAGTTCCCAGTGCTGGAGGAGAGACTACGGACAAGCCTGCGCTCTGCAGACCGGGCCCAATGGTGGTCAGGGGCCCAGGGGAGGGTCGACCTCCCCACAGCTCATGGCCCAGGATGCTCTCTCCTGCGTGACCCCGGGGAGGCCCTGCATCACTCCCACAGGCCACGCATGGTGCTTGATGGCGAGAGATCATTTTACTTAAACCGTTCATTATCTGACACCTCTTTCTGAAACGTATTCCGGGACTTCCTTGGTGCTCCAATGGTGACGACTCCACGCTCCCAGTGCAGGGGGCCTGGGTTCAACCCCTGGTCAGGGAACTAGATCCCACATGCTGCAACTAAAGGTCCTGCATGCCGCAGTGAAGTTCAGAGATCCCACACACTGCAGCTAGGACCCAGTGCAGCCAAATAAAAAAATAAAAATAGAATTTGCTCCAACGTCAATAGCCCTGTTCATCTGTGTCCTCCCGTCCCCTCACCTGAATGAGGGTGGGTGCCATGAGCAGGGTGCAGCACTCAGGAGAAAGAGCCTTGCTTCCTGCTCCCACACGGCTTCGTCCTCAAGTTAGACGTGTCCCAGGTGAGCGCAGTATCACTACCACGTGCCTGGCGGGACCAGTGACCAAGGTGTGACATAGACCGCAGTCCCCGCACAACAGCAGCGGGGTGGGGGGCCAGCCGCACACCTGCTGAGACCGGAGCAGACACGGGGCAGCCCTTGGGGCTTCCTACAGCTTTCCCGAGCCACATCTTCCCGCGCCTCCAAAGGAGGCACCGGCCTGGCACCCGGAGCCCGTGGCCGCTGGGCCTGTCTTCCCTGCCAGCCGCTGTGCCCAGGACCCCAGCTTTCCTGCCGTAGGGAGGCCCATCCACCCGCAGCCTCAGCATCCCTCCTGGGGCTTCCATCTGGATTCAGTTCAGGTGATGCCCCCTGTGCGGCTGGTCTCACAGGCCGGTGGACAGTCCTGCGGTGTCCTCACCTCGCCTAGGCTTCCAGAAGCACCAGGGGAGGTCTGCACCTGCCTGCGTGTCTATTTCTGCCTGTCCGGGCATCGGTCAGTGCCTGGAGCACAGGGCCTTGTCTTCGCTGCAAGCAGTGACTGAGTCAGTTCTTATGAGTAGATGCAGTGGCAGCTTGAGAGCATGAGTCTGCCAGAGGCAAGCCTGCTCAGGACAGGCCCCTGCCTGGGGCGAGAAACGCCGGCCAGCCCAGCCCACCCGGGCCGACAGACCCCCCACCCCTCAGTGACAGGCGCCGCGTCTCAAGTTTGCTTTGCTTGAGTAAATGGGCCTCTGGAAAAATCCTGCTGAGAAAGGAACATATCCAGCAGACTTGGGATAAACATGATGCTGGGAACCAAGTGTAGGATTTAAAGAAACTTTTCCAGGGAGCAAAAAGATCCACATGCGTAGGAAAACGCACCTTTGACCCCAAATCAAAAAGTTCTAAGGCGATCTAGTGGTTAAGAATCCACTTGCCAGTGCATGGGACACAGGTTCAATCCCCAATCTGGGAATAGTCTACACGCAGCAGAGCCACTCAACCCTTGCCCCACAAATACCAAGCCAGCGCCCCAGGGCCCACAGACCACAGCTACTGAAGCTTGCAGGCCTAGAGCCACTGCTCCACAGGAGAAGCCGCTGCAGTGAGAAGTCTGCTCGCTGCGACAGAGCAGCGCCCGCTCGCTGCAAGGAAGACCCAGCACAGCCCCAAACTAGATTTTAAAAAAGTAATAAACGCACAACAGTGCAGGGCAGAATCGATGCTGGGAAAACAGATCAATGATGTGCAGACAAACT